GGGGCAGCCAATCAATGATTCTCTCTCATCAATAAATGTGTCCTCTCTCTCCCTTCCTCTCTGAAATCAATATATATATATATATATATATATATATATATATATATATACACATTTTTAAAAGAAGGAAGTGCTGACCAGGAAGCCCCGCACTGAACAGTGGGAGCAGCACTGCCTACTTCCGGGAAGGCAGAGAACAGGCCTGGGGAATTTTAAGAAACGGAGATATCCTCCTCAGACAGCCTCAGCAGGAGGGTCTGGGGCTCAGGAAGGAGGCAGAGGCCTGGGTGGGGTTTGGGGAGCTGAAGGCGGGTGTGGAAATACTGGCCGTTTTCTCCCTCCCCTTCCCTCTCTCCCTCCCCCAACCACTTCCCCCTCCCGTATCTCCGTCATTTGCCATCTCTCTTCTGAACGTCTCTCCTCCCATTTTTTCTCTTTCAGTTGATCATAATATGCAGCTGGTGGATATCAACTTAAATAAACACCAAAAGGAAGTCTCATGTTTTCTCTGGCTACTGAACAGTTTTTATTCCCCTTAAAAACACCTTTCAGTCACTGCACCTGTAGGTGGTCCCAATGAGCTTCCTTCCCTGTTGAAGAGCCTCGAGGGGAGGCTGGTGGGAAGCGTCCAAGCGTCCGTTCTCAATCCCCGAGGCCAGGCTTGGCACTTGGCGCAAGGACAGGCGGTAAGCAAGGTCTCCCCATCTCCTCCCCTGACCTAACAGTGCCACACACACTGGCACTCAACAAATAGGTGAACTTGGAGGCCCTCAGTCATACTTGGGACTTTCTAGCCATTATCAGCTATAGGCATACACTCACTCGTTTTTAATCAATTCGTCTTTTAGTAAGAGCTAAAAGCTACCAAGAAGGGTGTGGCTTACCTAAAAAGCTTTGAACAAGGCTGATGGTTATGGATTTCTGTAATCAGAAAGAGAAAATACATCTTAGTTAATCATATAAAATAGCCCAGGAAATACACACACACACACACACACACACACACACACAGTTGTTGAAAATCTCAGACAATAAAAAGAGGGTTTCCACCTGGCCAGATGGCTCAGTTGGTTGAACTTTGTCCTGTACACTGAAAAGGTTGTGGATTCGATTCCCGGTCAGGGCACATACCTAGGTTGCAGGTTTGATCCCCTGTCAGAGAGGCAACCAATCAATGTTTCTCTCTCTCCCTTCCTCTCTAAAATCAATGAAAAAATGTTCTTGAGTGAGGACTAAAATAATAATATAAATGAGAGAGTTTTCCGCGTTCCAACAGGTGCAGTGTGCACACGGGGAAGCGCTGTATCTCCTCAACATTTCCACTCCGGGACACCTTCTCAGAACCACGTGACGAGAACAGCAGCCGTTCCCACCTGTCCCTTTCCATCTGCGTGATGCGCACACACCTGAGAGCTCTCACTTACTCGGTCTTACCTGGGTACAGCATAGGGGGCAGGAGCCACCAACCGGGTAAGAGCTGTGAGGACAGCCTGGGGAGAGGGCCTGCACCACTGCCCATCAATGACCTACTAGCTCACAACAACGTGGGCCTGTGTTTTGAAGGGAAGGGAGGAAACTCTGGAAGTCTATTAACCCTTTCAAAGATGGCCAGCACCAAGGGAAACCGCTATTTACCAGGCAGATCTGAAAAGATGGCGGTGACTAACCAGAGGGAACAATTTCTTCCAGCTCATCAGGGGGCTCGGGTCTGGTTTGCTTTATGAGACATGAGACCAATTAGCATTCCATTCTGCTAATAGCGTTCTCCTTACAGCGACTCTTTACCTTCAATGTCACAGCCCAGACTTACAGGCTGCAATGTTCACTCAATTAAAAGGGAACCACAACCCTAAACGACGTGGCTATTAACCCTGTCCTGGTCCGGCTGCCAAAACACATGCGCAGACGCGATGCTTCCTCAGGGGAGAGGAGCTCATTTGCTCAGCCGGCTGTTGACACAGCGATACAAGTAAGAAAACCTCATCCAGAACCATGCCCTCTTTTATTACCAAAATGATACAGTGTACCTTCCCAAGGTATTTCAGAGATACTTTCAGTAATTAGGATGTAAAACATCTGGAGCAAAAACATTACCTCAGGGAGAAGGGGAAAAGAACACACATCTTCTACTTGACAGGAAAGAATATTTTGTTTAAGAAAATCCCTAGAGTAAATGCTGAACTCTGAGTACACTCCTGTCGTCAGTCCTCCCAGCAGACGTCTTTCATGATTTGCAGCCTGGATTAGAAGCACTCTGAAGACGTGCTCTAGACACCGCGTGGCATTTCCTAAAGAGGTGAAATACAGCTTTCCCGGGTAAGACTTTTTGCAGGACCTAACCAAGCACACCGCGGAGAAACGGGGAGGTGGTCGCCACAGGTAAAGCTGCCCATCGGAATGGAGTAGGTGGGCACATTAGCTGGGGGCAGACCTTTGGAGGGCAGCCTCACCGGGACCCTAGACTTCCCTACGCCTCCAGCGCATCCCCATGGCAGACTCCTCGTCACGTGTGTACGGCGTCTCGGCACACACGTCCCCCCAACCCCCCGGGAGGTGCTGCTCTGCTTGCTGGTCTTCCTGTCTCTGCCCCGCATCCCCCACTTTCCTCTCCATTCTTCCCGGTGGCTGCCACGACACCAGCTCACTAACTCAGGGCGCTCTGCTGCTGTCTGGGATGGCTCTGCTTCAAGTGAGCTGGCGCAGCTTAAAATGAATGTGTATTCAAGACAAGACAGGCACTTCGTATGCAAAATGTGATATTCTATATAAAGTCCCCTTATTGTATAGAGTCAGGTAAAGGTGTCTGTGCATGAATTCACACATTTTCAACAAATAATGTATTTGGCCAATTTATTTTACTTAAAGGATCTAATTCTGGAGGTTAAGTTATGCCAGGACAGTTCCTCATACTATTGCTGTGGAAACTACTTCGCTTCATGTCAGTCCAGGTTTTCCACTGGTTTACATTTACTTTCTAACTAGAGGCCCGGTGCACAAAATTAATGCACTCGGTGGGCGGGGGGATCCCTTAGCCCGGCCTGTGCCCTCTCGCAGTCCAGGAGCTGTCAGTTGGACAACCTTAGCGCTGCTGCAGAGGGGGAGAGGCTCCCGCCACCACCGCTGCACTCACCAGCCATGAGCCCGGCTTCTGGCTGAGCGACGCTCCCCCTGTGGGAGCACACTGGCCACCAGGGGGCAGCTCCTGCATTGAGCATCTGCCCCCTGGTGGTCAGTTCACGTCATAGCAACCAGTTGTTCCGCTGTTCGGTCGATTTGCATATTAGCCTCTTATTATATAGGATATGGATTTTATGTATTCATTTTAAAAGTACAGTTGACATACAGTATTACATCAGTTTCAGGTTTACAACATAGTGATTCAACTTTTATATACTTTACGAGTAAAGTGATCACAACAAGTTTAGTCACCATCTGTCCCAGCATAGTTATTATGATATGAATGAGTCTATTCCCTATGCTGTACGTTACATCCCCACGACTTATTTTATAACTGGAAGTTTGTACTTCCGAATCCCCTTTTCTGCCCACCCCTCCACCCTCCTCTTCTCTGGCATTCATCAGTTTTCCCTGTGTCTGTGAATCTGTTTCTGGTTTTTGTTTGTATTTGTCTTTCTCTGTCTGACTTTTTTCACTTTACATAATACTCTCTAGATCCAAAGATTTCACTCTTTTTATGGCTGTGTAATATTCCATTTTACATATGTACATCTCTAAAATCAATTAAAAAAGATAATAACTTATTCAAATAAATTGGTAAATATAAACAGCTAGAATATTAATCAGAAATGCTATTTTTGTCATCATGCTGGATAAGAGAGCTCTTTCTTATATGGTTTGCTGTCAGTTAACTACATCTGGCATTTTAACCTTCATCTATCAAATTAATTTTGAAATTCAAGTGCAAACAATAAATAATTGCACAGATGTCCAATGAAACCAAATTCTCCACTTCAGGATTTTAAAGAACTAAGCAAAACAAACAAGGACAAAACCTCAATGATAGAACAGCTATACCCGTACACCGCACGTCTTTATTTAGCAGTCGATGCTGTGGAGCAGGTTTTATAGTTTTGGTCCTATCAAACCATAGGAGAGAGTTCAGCCTCTTCCCCCGCAATCCAACCCTACATCAATCCTCACCCTGGCCCCCCCATCCATGTACCAGGCTATCAGAACAGGCTTGAAATTGATGGCTTGCCCCAATAGGACCTGACCTTCCAGCAGAATTTCAACTCTCACCTGCACACACACTGCATTTTGGTCACAGACACAGGCCAGGGCCCCTGTGTGTTTTATGCCCTCCTTTGCTGTGTTCCTCTGAATGCACACCCTGACCCTGAGTTTGCCTCCTGCATGATGTCTTCCCTGATTTCACCCACTAGCAGTTTCCCCCTCTAATCTATGGGATGGCCTTGGCTCCTTTCTTACAGCACTCATCTTGTGCTGCTGGACTTTTGTGACTTGCCTCATCCTCCCTCACTCCTGGGAGGCAGAAATGCATCTGGATGCTCCTCGCACTGCCCGGCACATGCCTTACACTTCAGTGAACATTGGCTGCACAGATGAATAAAATGCCTCCTGCTTTTCTCTGGGTGTCAGGATATGCTGTTTAATGATACTGACGTGCAGCTAAAAAAACTATGAGTCAGTGCATCTATAAATACTCTGTCTTCCCCAAAAATCTCCCCCAAACTGACAAAAGCTGTACAACTCGCTAAATTCTACAATTTGCTAAATAAGTGTGAACAACTATGCCAGACCCTTCAGAAAGGCCCTGCATAACACACCCTTTTTTATAGGGGGTGATGACGACACTGGGGACACCCTAATTTGCAAATCTGAGGTTCTCAGTGGTTTTGGAGAGACTACCAAGTTCGACAGCACACAGAATCCGTCAAAGTCGGGTCAGGTAGTGGGTAAGGGACAGCGTTACAGAATACCCGCACCTACAGCAAGCCACTGTATCCTTACACTGACCTATACAAACATTTCACATCATTTATTAGTGCAAATACTTGGCACTGTAATGACAGTGGTTACCTATGACTTTTCTAATCTTTAGATTAAAATCAGTCAAGGGCCAAAGAACAGACTAACCGTACATATACAGAGAGTGTTTCCGAGGTCGGTATAACTCACTTACCAATGACTTGCAGGAACTCTGTGTTGCTGATTTGGGAGTCACTGATGCTAAAGGTTTCCTCTTGTCTCACCTCTCCCAGCAAAAATCCTTCCTAAATGTAATAAAGAAAATAGTTGCACACTAAAAATTAAGACGGTTTTTACTGGAATTAAGAGAAATTTAGGACATAATAATTTTTAACAATAATCCAAATAAGCTTGGCATGCGAACCACTATTCTATAAACCAACAAGTAAGACTAGAGAAATATCAGATATACCTAATAACTGGATTGTTGAAAAAAGGATTCCATACGAGATGAAATATATTTCAACCCCTTCAAGTCTTCCCTGTTTCTCTAAAGTAAAAATTAGTAGAGAGAATTCATCACCTAAATCCTATCAAGTAGCATCACCAGTGTCGGCAGTGGGTGGAGGTGGGTGGGTGGAGGGCATAGGGGGATAAAAGCTTGTTTTCTTGAAACAGAATACAATTCATTTCATTGCATTGCATGAAAAACACTGCTACTGAGAGACGGATAAAGACGTTGGCACAATGCACAACTAAGTGCTCTTTAGCTGGCGTGGGAAAGTAGGGTCTCAGCAAACCAGTTCCTATCGTCCGCATGCAAGTGCTTCTTTGATAAATGCAGAAGCTGGGCTATTCTCACCTTTGGAGAACACACACCACCATAACAATTCTGGATTATTCGGCACCTAACCTGCTGTTGGAGTACTTTCTATACTTTTAAATGATTGAAAAAATATTAAAATGGAGCCCTGGCTGGTGTGGCTCAGTGGGTTGGAGCGTTGTCCTGTGCACCAAAGGGTCTTGGGTTGGATTCTGGGTCAGGGAACATACTGGGTTTTTGGGTTCAATCCCCAGTTGGGGTGTGTACAGTCCAACTGCATATGAGAGGCAGCCAATTAATATTTCTCTCTCTCTCTCTCCCCCCCCTTCTCCCTTCCTCTCTCTAAAATCAATGAAAAAGTAATAAAAAATTAAAATAGGAGTGTTTCATGATGTGAAAATTATATGAAAATCAAATTCAATGTCCATAAAATTTATTGGAAACAGTCACCCTAATTTATCTATTGTCTATAGCTGCTTTCTCTTGCAACAGCAGGGTGGAGTAACTGCCACAGACCACATGGCTCCCAAGAAATTTCTCTGCCTGGACAAAACAAGAATGTGCTACAAAAGCAAATTCTTAGTTCTTCAACTTTAAAATACATCAAATTGAAACAACTCTATTCCACATCTATAATTGTAGCAAGGTTAACGTAGGCAAGTATGGTCATATCCAACACAGTTGCAAACTACTGTCATTGGTGAACATTGCTGTTTAATCTAGCCGCCAGACCTGGCTCGGTGTAGATATTAAGGAGATGTCTCTTGAATTGAATTAGTAACAATCCGGGTAACGTGGCCATCTCACTGCGTTTGTAGAAAAACGTACCCACTTTTCCACAGGTAGCTGCTGATTTTTTTTTTCTTTTTTAAAATATGGAATGCTTCACGAATTTGCGTGTCATCCTTGCACAGGGGCCATGCTAATCTTCTCTGTATCGTTCCAATTTTAGTATATGTGCTGCCGAAGCGAGCACTAGCTGCTGATTCTTACCATAATCTTGTCCTACACATAAACTATGACATCTCTAGGCACTCCGCAAATCAGAGTTCATTGAAACCATCTGTAACACTTCCACGGACACTAGGCGTGTCACAAACCACCTACATGCGGGGCTGCATTACAGTAGTAACTCGCTGGCTGCAGTACCAAAAGCCTCATGCAATGCAATGAATTGTATTGTGTTTCAAGAAAACAAGCTTTTATCCCCCTGCCCGGAGGCATGCGCGGCCTCCGGACAGACCCATGTCGTGTGTGTTCTTATCATTAATCTCTCCCACCAGCACTGGAGAGGTGAGCGGCACCTTCATTCACTGCCATCCAACTGACTAATGGGATCGCCTCTCTAGAAGTTGCTATTAATGGAGGCGAAGACTGCTGACATCCAACCAAATCCAGTTCCTTCTGCAGAGTCGCATTTTGCTTTGTAATGACAAGCACAACCCCCCCCCCCCCCCCCCACCGCGCACAGACAGTTATTTACTGAGGGTGAACAATGGACTTTTGGGAACTTTTCCAATAACCCCCCACTGGGGAGGGCAGAACCAAACACATCTTGAACGATTTAAAATTATCTAAGTTCCGCAAAGAATTTTCATTTCCGAGGTCAGTGAAATGAAAAAAAACCCCGGGAAATAAAAGCTCGGGGAGCCGCCGGGCCCCGGCTCGCTCCCGCGCGTCCGCGCTCCCCTCCCCGCCCGCCTGTCACTTCCCCATTTCACCGCGGCTCGGTTCCGGGGCTCGGAACACCTGCCAGGAACCCAACTCGCAACTTCCAGGCGAGGAGACCCGCCGCCGAAACCTGCCGTTCGCATTCCCCATGTTCCACGGAGGAGGAAGCGCGCGATCTCATCGAACCCGTGTGAGGAGTGACAGCCACGGCTGCCCCGGGTCGCTCCCCGTGACCCCCCGCGAGACCTGCCGGACACCAGGGAGGGGCAGACGCTCGGCTCCCGCGGAGCGACCTCTGACACCGCCGGCGGCCGGCCGGGCCAGCTCCGCCAAACCGGTGACCGCGGCTCCGGTCGGGCGGGCGGCGGAAGGCCCTG